GGGCTGAGCCCATCGGTGCCTCTGCAAATGACACATTGAAGAGGGGACAGGGAACAATGGGGTGGTGCGGCCTCGGGCAGGGCCTGGCTTGGGTGGGCTGCTCTGGCCGTCCAGCTGCCTGCCTGGCTTCTGCAAACTGACCTGCCGTAGCTGGTGAGGCCACACCTTGAATCCTGTGTTCAGTGTTGGGCCCCTCACCACAAGAAGGACATGGAGGTGCTGGAGCAGGTCCAGAGAAGGGCAACGAAGCTGGTGAAGGGTCTGGAGCACAGGTCTGATGAGGAGCGGCTGAGGGAGCTGGGGGTGTTTAGTCTGGAGAAGAGGAGGCTGAGAGGAGACCTCATCACTCTCTACAACTACCTGAAAGGAGGGTGCAGTGAGGTGGGAGCTGGGCTCTTCTCTAAAGTAGCAAGTGATAGGACAAGGGGAAGAGGCCTCTGGTTGATCCAGGGGAGGTTTAGGCTGGGTATTAGAAAAAATTTATTCACTGGAAGAGTGATAAGGCATTGGAACAGGCTGGCCAGGGGAGGGGGGGAGTCACCATCCCTTTTCCCAGGGAAGTGGTGGAGTCACCATCCCTGGAGGGGTTTGGGAAACCTGCAGATGTGGTGCTTAGGGACATGGGTTAGTGGGTTGGGTGTGTTGGGGTGAGGGTTGGACTTGATGGTGCTTGAGGCCTTTACAACCTTAATGATTCTATGATTCTGTGATTTTTCTTTACCAAACTGGGTTACTAATGAAACAGGGACTTAGTTGCCTGTGAGACATGGGGTTGGAATAAGAGCACATAGAGACAGCAAGCTGTGATTCAGTACCTGCCATGTAGCCCACAAGGGGCTAAAATTGTGCATTATCTTGGAAGGGCTGAGTTTTTCCTTTAGGATAGCAATCTGTTTGTGCATGGCAGGGTATTAGGGAAGTCACTGCTCTGTGTCTAGTGAACGCACAGGAAGCAGAGAGCTATGAAGATAGTGCAAAGTGGTTCTGAAACCACGCGTGGAGATCCAGAAGTTTGTTGTGTGGTTTTCAAGCTTTGAGGGGCTAGATGGTATTAGGTGGAACTTGTTTCCTGGAAACACTATTTGTTAATTGCAGGAAAGCTGTTTCCCTCTGCCAAGAGAGGAGAATGGTTTGCTCAGCAGGGATTGTTTTGCTTGTGGGAGAGGTGCACCTGCTTCAAGGATGGGGATTGATACATGAGCATGGACCTCCAGGACTACTGCTTATTTCCAAGTAGGATGGATTGTTCTTTTCTCTGAAGATCTTTGTTTTCAAGAGCAGAAAATAAAGGCTCTGAACTGAAATCTTGTGCAGCTCAGCCACACCTAGAGCCCTCAGTAATGTCCCCCTCTCAAAGCCACACCCCTACAGGCAAGAGCAAGTATGTAGGAGGACAATCAGGTGCTTTCTGCTTCAGATGCTGCCTTTCAACTTGGTGTACGTTAGTTGTGGCAGCTGTGCTCCTTGTGATTTCAGGCTGAAGCAGTGGCTTCCTTTTTGGGGTGAGGCAGTCAAGCTGCTGTTTTTCCCCCCTTGCCCTTCATAAAGCAGGTACTTGGACTTTCATTTCTTGCTCTGCTTAGTGTTAAATTTACGTCCCTTCCCCAAGCCGTATGGTGTCAGCGTTAAGTTGCTTGATTGTATTTAATCTCCCTTACATCCAGAGTGGAAGTTCTCCCAAGAATATGGAAACACTGCTTAAAGCAGCTTCTAGGCTGGAACAGAAAAATAGAACCAGAGATGCTTCAGACAATTCTGCTGTCTGGAGATGCTTTCCCTGTAGGAATTTAATGTAGGAAGCCTGCCAGCTCTGGCTCTGGGCACTTAAAAAGCAGAAATTTAAACCATTAAGGCAACACTGTGACGGCAGATGAGTTCCCGTGCAGTGAGGTTTAAATAAAACTCCTTTCCTACGTACTTGGAGTAAGTCACCACTGGAGGCTCTGACAAGTGCTTCATAAAAAACCTTCTGCTTTAATAGAAACGTTACAGTAGAAATGTGAAAAACCCAAGTTACAACAAAAGCTTATGCAAAAGTTCTGCAGGACTTCTAGAGTGGATTTTTCCTCACGTCTATCCTTTCTGGGAGATAAGGCGCTGGAGTCACGTTCACGCTGCCTTTGCGCAGCTCCCGGCGGGGCTTGGAGCCAGAAGGGAGGCTCCATAGCTGCTGCAGCTTGTGGGGCTGCCCCGCCCTCACCAAGTGCTCGGCATCCCTCTGCCGAGGGTTCCCAGGGCTGTCGTTGGGCAGGGAGGAACGCCTCCACGTTGATGGCAAAGAGGCATGGATAAGGTCCCTGCTCTCATCCCTGACCCGGTGACTTTCTTCACCAACGGCCAGAGGCGCGGGCTGCTCCCCAGGGCTGGATTCCTTGCGGGTCCTGAGCACAGGCGGAGTTCTGTCCCCATCCCCATGAATGCTCTCCATCGCTGTTGGGAAAGATTAGGGGTACAGTGAGACATATTATCAGGTATCTACTCTTCTCATCCAAATCATTGCCTGGAGAGAGCTTGCTCAAAAGCCAGCAGTGACCCATACCCACACTGCTCCTGACCCTGCTCCAAGCACTTGCTGCCAGGGAAGGGGATTTAAACTCCCTGGCCTTGAATTTGGTAGGAACAGCAAAGCCCCAGCCTGGGTTTCCTCTCACCTTTTTTCATGTTGCTCAGCTTCTGGTTCAGCTCCTGGTTTGCCCACCTATAACGGCACAGGTCCTCTTCCAGCAGCTGAATCCTTGCCTCATACTGCAGCTTGCTGCTGGCCAGCTCCTCATCCATGTGCTCTGCAAGGAAAAACAAGACCATTTCATGCTGCAAGCCCTGTGAAAGACGAAAGCCGTGCCACTGCTGCCTGTTTCAGGAGCTCGGTGGCTACCTTGGCTCTGCTGGAGCAGTAACTGCATGTTCTGCTCGTGCTCCTTCTGCTGCAGGGTGAGCTGACGGTCCATCTCCAGGCGCTGTCGCTCCATAGCCGCCTCCAGCCAGTGCACCAGCTGCTGCTGCTCCTCCAGCTGCATCTCCAGGTCCGAATAGGCAATGTGCTGCTTGTGCTGCTCCTCTCGCAGCGTCACCACCTGGCCAGGGCCCAAGAGCAAGGAACACCTCAGCTCCTTCAGAGCCTGGGAAGATTTCCTGCCCCACCAAGCCTGATCTAGCTTTTTAGTACAGCGTACAAACGTTAGAAGATCTGGGATGTCAGATCTAGTGGAGGGAAGAGCAATGCGTGGCTGCACTGATGTGGCAGAGCCACTGCAGGGATCCATGCATCCTCTAACTAGTTAAGCTGCTCTCCCAGGTGTTGAGACAGGTGGGGATCACGGTGCTATGGCTTTGTGGCCTGACTTTGCCGGGCAAAAGTACAGTAGGAGGCAGGCAGAAAGCTTGAAACTGAGAAAAATATGAGTTTGGTCAGATACTACAGCTCCCACCAGCACAGAGGGCTTGTCTCTCACCTTGTCAAAGTACTTGCAGAGCAGAGCTTGGGTCTCGGAGGAGGAGAGGTATCTGAGCTTGGCCATGAGGTTCATCTCACTCTGGGACAGCTGGCTGGCTGAGGCCCGCAGGACTCGCTGCCTGGATGTGATGGACTCATTCTTGTACTCAATGGCTGCATCTAGAGCCTCGATTGCCTCGTCCAGCTGGAACAAGACCCGTTCCTCCTGCCAGGGCAGAGCTGCAGTTACTAGGGAGCAAAGGATTTGCTCTGTCTCACCCTGCCCTAACCTCCCCTTGTCCTCTCAATAGTGCTGGCAAGAAGCTGGGATTATGCACAGCTTGGGAATGTGGGGGAGCATCTGCTAACAACCCCACGCTCAGGTGTTCACTTCTGTCTTACTACCTCTTGCCCACAGAGCAGCCCAGCCCAAGAAGAGGTACCTCTGGAGAGAGCAGGGAGCCCTGGCGCAGCTTGCTGTCGAGCTCCTGCCTCTGTTTGAGCTGCTGGTCTTTCTCCTGGCGCAGGCTGTTGATCTCCTGGCGGATCTGCTGCTGGTCGTGGGGGCTGCCGTGACGCAGCTGCCCGTTCTTCTCAGTCAGCTCCTTCTCCAGGTCCTCCAGGCGGCTGGACACACGCACTATGTCATCTGTCAGAGCCTGCAGCAGAAGATGCTCAAGGAGATCTGCTCTAAAGGCACATCAGGCCCTCTGCCCCTTTTCCACTCACTCCACAGGTCAAGTGACCCCACGTGTGCACGGAAGCCAAGGGCTACCAAAACAATGAGCTGAGAGGCACAGCAGGAGCAGGCTCTCCTGTAGAGGCAGATTTCCTACCCGCTTCTCAAAACCACCTCATCCTGGCCTGCAGCGCACTGGAGACCCAGGATGGCACCCAGGTCTTCCAGCCTCCCACCTCTGCTGGAAATCAAGCAAGAGGCTGAGGTGTCACACTCTTGTCCTACCTGGCTGGAGCGCAGCCGTTTGTTCTCCAGGCCGTTCTTCTCCTGCAGCAGGGCTTCCTTTTTGGCCACGATAGCTTCCCGCTTCCTCAGCTCATCTTCCAGCTCAGCCAGGGCCTGGCGCTGCTCAAGAACTTTATCCATCTCCATGTCCAGCCACTTCTTCTGTTCCTCAATTTTCTGATGGAAGGAGAGGCAAAGGGCATGTGCGTGCATGCAGACAGCAGCAGCAATGCCCAGGACTGCTAATGAGCATAGAATCATAGAATCACTGAATAGTTTGAGTAGGAAGGGACCATGGAGGTCATCTAGTCCAACCCCCCTGCAGTAAGCCGGGATATCTTCCACTAGGTCAGGTTGCCCAGAGCCCCATCCAACCTGACCTTGCATGTTTCCAGCGACAGGGCACCTACCACCTCCCTGGGCAACCTGTTCCAGTGTTTCACCACCCTAAGCGTGAAATATTTTTTTCCTTCTATCTAGTCTAAACCTCTCTTCTTTTAGTTAAAAACCATTACCCCTTGTCCTACTGCTGCATGCAGTGTTAAAAAGTTTATCCCCATATTTCTTATAAGCTCCCTTTAGGTACTGAAAGGCCGTAATCAGGTCTCCTTGGAGTCTTCTGCAAGCTGAACAATCCCAATGCAATGGGGTTGAGATCTGAGAGAGTATCTTGAGTCCATCTCTGCTAACCCCTATAGCCCAGACTTCACTGGTCTTATCCTTCCAGCTGCTCCGAGAAGCAGAGCTGAGCTAAATCCACAGCTGCCAGGGAGCCCTTGGGGGCTGCATCTCCCGCCGCCCTTCTGCTATCAGACAAGATTTCACAGCTTCTTTACTAATGCTAGATTTCAAAAAGAATCCTGGTCCTAGGGTCGGACAAGATCTACATTCTCTGCTACTAGCTACCAGTGACATGATGGACTGTCCCCCTCATGGGCAGGATGGGCTATGTCCCATCTCAAGCTGAAGCCCCTGCTTCCAGGCCTGCCCATCACCCAGCAGTCTGCCACAGCAGCCCCTTTGAACAGAAAGGAGATGGCAGGCTGGCTCTGCCTGTACCTGCTGCTGCTCCAGGCTGATCACGCAGCCGTTGCTGCTGCTCCGCTGCTTCCTCTGGAAAGCTGCTATTTCCTCTGTTTTGATGCGCAGGATTTTCTGGTGCTGCTTCTGCTTCAGTTCCAGTTCCTGTATGGGAAGGAGCAGCTGTGAGCCTTGAGAGGCTGTTTGCTCTAGAGCCACGTCCTGAGCTCTTTGGATGCTCATCTCTCCATCCCCTTGCTCTCCAGGACAGTCACAGACCCCATCAGAGCCACCCTTGCCCACCCAGCAGCTTGCAGAGCCCTCCCATCGTTGTCCTCACAAATACCGCAGTGGCACAACTTCTCCTGCCCGTTCCTACCTTGACTTGGTGCTGCCGCTTATTCACCTCCGTCTCCAGCCGCCGTTTCTGCTCTCTCTCCTCCTGCAGCCGGTGCTGCAGCTGGCCCTGTTGCTGCCGCATCAGCTCAATGTTCTTCTCCAGCTCCTGCACTCGCTTCTTGCTCTGGCCTGACAGCAATATCAGCCTCTCTGTTGCCTGCTTCTTCTTGCACAGAACCTGCCGGAGGGCGAAAGTTGTCTTTGGGCTTGGCATCTCCCTGGTGCCCTTTGCAGAGATGTCCCCAACTCTTCCCCTGCCCACCTCCGTGGGCGAGCAGAGCCCTTCCCACTCACCTGGGCCTTGTTCTGTGCGGCCGCCAGACGTGTGCGGTACTCCTGCAGCTTGCGCTTCTCTCCAGGGTCCCGTGGCTCTTTGCCCTCCAGCTCCTGGAGTTGTTCCTGGCTGTCGCTCAGCTCTGCCCGCACCTGCTCTGCCTCCTGCTCCAGCTCGCTGATCTTCTGGCAGTACTGCCTGTTCAGAGCCTGGGCATCCTTGCCTGCAACACATGTCCCCCTCTGCCATGACCTCTGGGACCCCGTCTCTTGCAGCCAGGATCCTGCTGAGGGACAGACCTTTCCTCTCTCTTCCTCAAGTATTTTTGACTAGAGGCTGAATGCTCCCTTGCCCTCAGCTATTCTGGGGAAGGGATTTGGGGAGAAACCCATGGGAAGGGTCTTGCTCTGCTGGAGGGTGGAGGAACCGTGCTCTTCTGCCTGCAGGGGAAGGGACTGGGCACAGACAATGCAGGGGAGGGAAGGTGAGGATGGACTAGAGACCAAGCACCCCAGCTAGGAGGAGATTTCATAGAACCACAGAATCATAGAATGGTCTGGGTTGAAAAGGACCTTAAAGATCATCTAGTTTCAAACCCATCCCTTCATAGGAAATAGATGCATGTTCCCACCAGCAGCTCTGCACCTGTCTTAATGAGCTCTGTGATCAGCTCCTCCTTCATACGGATATTGATCGCCAGCTCTCGGATCTTCTGCTGTGCTTGCGCCAGCCTCCACTCAGAATCCTTGCCCGGCAGGCGCTTCTGGAGACTAAGCAGTGGCTCCTGCCTCCTGTAGAGCTCTGCAACAGAGATTGCTGGGTCAAGGAAAGTCCTGTCCTAGCAGCTGGGTGACAGAAGGACAATCCAACCTCAGATCTGTAGCCAAGAACTGGCACAGCATTGCCCAGAGTCACCCACAGCTTCCACCAAAACATGCACCTCTTGCCAGACCCCAACAGTTCAAGTTTTTCCTTAAACAAAGCAGCCAGACTGCCCTCTTCTCCATTTTGTCCTCTGGACTCATCCAGGTGGGACGCGCTATCTTGCTATCAACAGCACCCAGGAAATACCACCAGCCCGAGGGCCACTGTCCAACAACCTACAGTTGCCACTTGCCTTTTGACAGCTCCAGCTGCTCCTCCTGAATCGAATGGCCATTGCCTCCACTTGGCTCCTCACTCAACTTGCAAGTTTCTTTCTTGCACCAGCTTTGGTTACAGTTTCTAGAATGAATGGCAAATTAATCAGTTGGGTCTGGGCACTGAAAGAGCTGTTCCCAGTAAGGACTCTCATGATCCACAGGCGTCTGAAGGAGATAAAACCAGTAGCTGTGGTCAGAAAAGATGGGAATGAGCTCCGCAGCAAGCAGGCAGCTGTCTCAGAAGAATCACTGACCCCAGAGGCAGCATTTGCTTCTAGATCCTACATGAGTGCTGAGATGCAGAGGGGGGACAGCCAGGTCACAGGGCACTGCATGGTGCAGGGACAGCCTCAACTCACCGGCGCTGGGACAGGGACCGTTTTTGTTCCCACTCCTCCTCCTTCTCTTCCTCCTCTTCTCCCAAGGACAGCTCTCCTGGCTCTGAGTCCTGGCTAAGCTCCATCCTCAGCACCGTGGCTTTGATCTTTGCATTGCTGGTCAGGGACTGCACGTGGTTCAGGTGCAACTCTGCCAGGTCCCCCTTCTGGGAGGAGGGGTTGCTGTTGAGCTGCTGGGGCAGAGAATCAGAAAGAGAGGAAACATGCTGACTGCACCTCTGACAAGGTTCACATCCAACGGTGGGGAAAAAGCAGCTCACTCAGTGCAGAGCATCCGAGTGAAAAGGCAGCAGCTCCTCAATGGCACAGACTTGCACCCTCACCTTCCTGTAAAGGGCTCTTCCACTCTGCTCGGCGGGAAGGAGCCCCAAGGGAACCCCGCTGAGGCCGTAGGATGGGGCAGCATCCAGCGGGGCCGTGTAAGGTCTCTGGCCAGCAGCCACCAGGTGAAGGTCTTCCAGCAGTTCTGGCACATACATGCTTGCCATTGCCATCTCCAAGCGCACGTTTAAATCTGAGATTTTCTCCTGCTGCTCCTGCAACTTGTCACTCTAGGAGGCAATGAGAAAAATGTGATTACGCACACATGGATTCCAGACCTGCTCCAGAGAAACCCAAAAGCTGAGCTGCCCTCTCATGGGGAGGAGGGGGGCAGGTCCCTATAAAGAAAGCACAGGCCAGAAATACCTGCAGCTTATACTGCTCCATAGCATCTTCCAGGGCAGCCAGGAAATCACGGTTCTCCTTCTCCAGGCACTCCACTTGCCTCTGCAGTTTGGCCACCTGCTCATCTTTGAGGCACTCACACACCTTTTCAGTGTTCACCTGCACATCAAAATACAAGAGAGGCAGTATCAGCACCCACCTTTGTCCTTCCCTTCCCAGGCGGGACTCCTCAAGGGCACGGCAGCTCTGCAGACCCATATTTTTCATTTGAAATAAATCTCTCAGCTGCAGCTGAATCCAGCCCCTCCCTGCCTGCTCTGAGGACCACATCATTCTGCTTCCCTGCAGCCTCTCGGCCAGGTTACTTCTCCTCCCCTGACCCATCCAGTGTGCCGTGCAGAGGCTGCTGCATTCAGTGGCCATCAGATGAACCCCACCTTGGACCTAAACCACCCCAACCATTACCTGGACTTCTGGCAGCTTTGAGCCTTGTGCCTCGGAGCTCTGGTCCTCTGCCGAGGTGCTCTCGACACCGATGCCACTATCCAGCCCAGCCGAGGACAGCTCGCTCCTCTCACTCTCCACTGCACACATCCACTCCTTAATCCGCAGGATCTGCTCCACTGTCAGGTTACCGTCCTCCTGCCCCTCCATCAGCAGCCGGTACGCAGTGTCGGTGCAGGTCCGGTAATGCGCACACTCTGCCAGCAGCCGAGCCATGGGGTCCGGCCCGCATCGTTTGGCGGTGGCCGAGCGGTTGATGATACGGGTCTCGGAGCGGTCCCGCTGTTCCAGCTCCTTCTGCAGGTTCTTGATCTGCAGCTGAAGCTCTTCAACAGGCTCCATCTCCTTGCGGCAGTTCACCACGGCCTTGTTCTGGATGTTTTGAGCACGGCTGGCGTAATTCAGAGTGTTGAGGCTCTCATCGAAGTCGGAGGAGGATGGGCTGACACAGGCTATCATCACCGTCTGGGCATTCCCCCCCAGAGAGTCCTTCAGGATCCTAGGGAAGAGCACAGTGGTTAAAATGGCTGAAATACAAAATAACGCAGGAACCAGAGGCTTTCCAACCCTGGTCCCAGCTGTACCTGGTAATTTTGGAGTCCCTGTAGGGGATGTGGCTGCTCTTCCTCCGAGGGTCTCCCAAGGCACTGATGACGTTGCCCAAGGCCAGGAGGCCACTGTTGATCTGGATACTCTCCTTCAGCCTCTCCCCCGTGTTTCCCGTCTTCACAATTCGCTCGGAGCCCGCCAGGTCCACAAAGTTAAATTTAGAAAACAGGACCTGGCCCAGGGCGGGGACGGTGGGGGGGTCATCATGCAAGGGGAAGCAGCCAGCCTTGCGCCGCTGTTCCATGGTCACTGTGAAGACGGTGTGCGAGCGGCTGGACTGACTGTTGACCTGGGTAGTTGCCACGTGCTTGGCTGTGTTCCCCATCTCCAGCAGGCTCAGCACCTCATCCAGCCCTTCCACTTCACACTCCTTCACACCGCAGAGCACTGCAACAGCAAACGGAGCCGTGGCTGGGAGGGACAGACTGCCCGCAGACGCAGCTCCTCTGCACAGCCCCGCGCCATCGCCCTGCCTGTACCGTGCCATGCACAGACTGGCTTTCCAGAGGACAGAGGGGTGGAGAAAGAAGACCTGGCTCTGCCTTCAGGGATAGATAACCCAACGCTAGCCTCGGGCATGGGGAGAAAAGGGAGCCTGAGTGCAGCCACACATACCGATGTTCCCCTTGTCATCTTCCCGGATCTGGATGTCTCTGCTGGCTGTATCCACCTGCAGCAAGTCCCGAAACTCCTCCTTGTACACCTCCAGGTAGGACACTCGGATGGTGTAGTCAATCAGGTCATTCTCATCGATGAGCCTGAAGGTCTCGGCCATGGCTCGTGGGATGATGCCCTGGTCATCTTCATTGATGGAAGCTGGCAGAGAGATGCACCGGGTCATGGGGAAGAGCGAATGCCCGGGGCTGGGGAGGGGGAGGTTGGCAGGGTCAAGAGGGAGGATGGGTTGGGATGGAGATGTTGGAAGCGATGGAGGTGTTGGAAGCGATGGAGGTGTTGGTGGGTTTGGGTGGAGAAAGGAAAACTGACAAGATGGGTTGGGAGGGCAGCACGGGTGAGGCTGGTGGTTTGGGAGGGAGTGCTGGGAAGGGGACAGTGGTGGCTCGGCTGGGGCTGGCGGGAGGTGGCACAGTAGGGACCGCGGAGGGGATGCGGACGGGATGCGGCGATAGGACTATCGCGACTAACCGA